TGGATAATAATAATAATGTGTTATCGAGGTAATCAATATAGATCTGTAAATTTATTTTTTAGACTGCTAACTTCCTTTTGGCAATTTCATGATCAAATAGTTGGGATCTCAAAAGAAGGCAAGATAATTGTTTTAGACGAAGAGAATATTTTCTGACTAATTATTAACCAGAGACTTCCAAATACAAATAATCAAAAGTGATCAAGCCATAGACGATATACTGAACATATCTGAGGAAGACAAAGATATTCTATTTGCTTATTGATAGTGACAAACAGATTATAGAAGTGATCCATAAGACCAACTTTTACCAGCAGAGAATAGGAAAGGAATCAAGTCTTACTCATCGAGGCTAAGACATATCGAAACAGTAGTCCACATTTGATAAAATATAGTCCACACACTGGAGTACAGAACTGTGAGCCAATAAGATTGACCAACGTCAAGTTGCTTCGGCTGTCGAGTGTTAACCGGTAGTAATCCCGGTAAAGAGGGGAGACTGGGCTAGGTGAGGCTAGCAATCCCACGTCGTAAAAGAAACAACGCTACTGAAACTTTAACGCTCAGGCTTGAAGTCTGTCTGTCTGTCTGTCTGTTTTCAACATAGAACTTTGCACCGATGTGCGGCAGTTCAAGTCGCCACAATCCATGTAGCACACAAAGCAAGAGAAGAAAGTAGAAGAAATGCATAATAGAGACAGTAAACAGAGGTGTGAGACAAAGGAATAATAATTACGAAGAGCCATATAGTTTCATTTGAAATCATAAGTCACAAGGAGTGGATGCATCTACGCCATTGAAAACGATTTTGAGCCATATCACCAATTGTTTCCAGCCATTGGTGTTTACCGTCCCAATGACCCCAACCAGTCAGGAAGTCTACACCTCCCTACATGGCTGGCTTAAACTAACTGTTGTGGATTTCATTGACTGATGCTATGTTTTGGTTTGACCGCCACTAGGTCTTTCCAGCCTGACCCTATATCAGCTAACATTGCCCGTCGAGGAAGGCGATGACTAGGCATGCGTAGCACATGTCCCAACCATCTCAGTCGATGTAATTTCACAGTCTCGTCGACTGATTTCCCCGCCTTACCTAGCACTCGACGCCTAACCTCAATATTGCTCACCTTATTACACCACTTCACACGGGAGATAGAACACAGGCACCTATGATCGAAGACAGCTAATCTTTTCATGTCTTCCACTCTCAATGGCCAGGTCTCACAGCCATAAAGGAGGACGGAGGCTTGAAGTCCTATTTTTCACTCAGAACTTAAAGGAATGAAGAAAAATGTGAAGTTGCAAACTTAAGGTCGCCGCATATATGATTTCCACATATACTTTGCATATCCATAGATCATCCTAGTAACCAGGCCAACTCAACTACTTGGCATATAATAGTGTGCTAATAAACAATGAGACGCATAATATGTGGGAGTTATGATGCGAAAAACAGACAAGGATTATCAAGACGAGATGTAACATTACAACAGCTACAGCTTATACCTTCAAAATAACAAGGAAGAAGACATCAAAAGCATCATAAATCTGGCTAAAACAACCACCTGTGACAGAGAGACCAAGTTTGCACCACCTTTAACAACATATTTGCAATGGTTACCAAATCCACAAAAATAAAGTGAAAACCAAGAGTTTTGTAGACCTCAAGATGCCATAAGGCATGCTGTTTATCAGAATTAACACCGGCTCCTTTCGAAAATCGAAGTAGGATTCCAGTAAGGAAACTGATTCCTTGAATGTATGTCAAAGTGTCCCCTCTATTCCAACATCCCATCATACTGTCTAGATAATGTACGTTACAATCAACGGGATATTAGTCTGTTACCAAAAGCATCAAAATACTGCCTGTTATAAGCTGTATTTATTCGTCACCGTCTTTGTGATTGATTGTTTCATTTCGTTGATTGTGTGAAGGCTGAGATACTGCCTGTGCGCCCAGACCGACGCAGGTGGTTGTCTTAAGGGACCACCCCCCTTGAGACTTTGACTTGGAGTCTAATGCGCAAGGTAGAGAAGCACTGTTAGGAGCTACGTTCCCATCGTCACCGGTGACCAATAGAGGTTCATACGCCATTTGATTTGTTTGGAGGCCATTTACCCCATAGTAACTGCTTTTAGTCTAACCGCTATCCAAACAACCTTCCTGACATAGTATGACTTGAAGGAACATAAGTGCCAGCCAGTTTAGCTTGTTGGGTCACTGTGGTATTCAAGCCCAACCACCACGACAAGGTAGCAGTTGTCGGCCGGGCGCCATCTTTGTAGGATTATTTGCATCAAGTGAGGATATTCAGCAGGTAATTCTGAGGTTCACCAGTATGTGTTAGAACAAGATACAAATATTATAGTCTCGAGATAACAGCGACTTAGACCTAATGTCTTCTGTTTACTAATGCACCGAATAGTCAAAATATCTGTACACCTTCCCACAGTGTGGATCACGTCCAAAAATTCACCAAGATGATAGATAACTTCATGGACTGGTATAACTTAATGATCTGAATATCGCTAAAAATATCTTGTAATCTAATTGAACTGCATATAAGATACCATATTGAGGTAGATGGTGCGTAGATCTACTTAACATATATGTTCTAACTAACGTGGAAGATGCAGGTTTTCGAGTTCATTAAATGACTAAACTTCTAGTCCATGGGAACTACTCTATATGTGATGACGTACAGGACACCACACGTATTCATTTTGTTTTGTCTTGGGTATCTTCCACCAAAAGGACTAGACCCTCTATTCACCGTAAGTCAGACGGATTTTATAACTGTGGCAAGTGAATTTTTGAAGTCTTTATTTTAAAAAAAGCCATCTGTATAGGTATATGAGGAAACTGAATAAAAAATAGTGACAGCTGGCACCCTGAGTGTAAACTGACAGTCCCGAACTCAGATGACAGCTCCCCGTGGATCTTTACAGTTATGTGAACTCAAGTAAAGTAGCCATCATAATGTAAGTCCTTTGCACCTGTCTGTCTGTCTGTTTTTAACGTAGAACTTTGCACCGATGTGCAGCAATCCAAGTCACCACACTCCATGTAGCACACTAAGCGAGAGAAGAAAGTAGAAGAAATGCAAAATAGAGACAGTAGACAGGGATATGAGACAAAAGGAATAGTAATACCGAAGAGCAATATAGTTTCATTGGGTATTATAAGTCACAAGGAGTGGATGTCTTTTGCACCATGTTGAGGGTCTGAGGGAGAAGTCGTACTGCTGGTGAATAGCAACGTAACAATAGTAAGATGTTTCCTTCAGACGAACAATAAACCAACTATGCTGTCTTTCTGTGTTGGAGAGTGAGGATTAGAAAAGGTCGACCCTGAAAACTGTACTACCCGACCTACTTCGAGGCGGTGGTAAGATTTTAGTACGGACATAACTCTAGAAAAGAAACTTCAAATAGGTCCGTGTATAACCAGCCTTAAACAGTTAACATCTGGGCTCTGAAGTCACAGAATACTACGACTATTTCTCTTTCACAGTGTCGATAACCTAGAAGAAATACACATCAACACACTTCTAGAAGCATACACAGCTTTTCTAATCAGCATATACCTTCATCTGCTTTTTCCAGTCAGAGGTAAGTGCTCCAACTTGTCTAAACTCAGGGATGACTAATAGTAACCAACACTAAAATATCATCACTAATAGTCTCTTAAAAACATTCTGCCAATTTCATATTGGAGCGCTTAATGCTTTGAATCCCATGTCAAATCAGACAATAAGCCTCACTAGCCAGAACTCCGACATTTCGAGCCACTGGTGTATGTTGTGTTTGGGGGATATGCTCACGACGACACCCAGGTATGGTTATGCACATGGTGAATCTATAAGACTCACCTTAGAGATTTTCTAGGTAAGTCAGTCAAGGAAGTCCTAGACGTCCATCGACAGATGTTTAGGACATAAGTATACCCCAGTTGGCTGAAACTAAATGGTGACTAGGCCACGATATGGCACTAATCCATTAAGTGACACTATTGGACTGAGAAAGGACGTGTAAGTTATCTAGATGTAACCGAGTAAAACACGAGTTTGAGGCCAAATACGGACTTACGCACATGTACGGAAAGCCCATTAAAGGGTTTATAGTGAAGGCGGCAGTATAACAAGACTGCTTACTATCACCGGTGATATTCTTGATTGTGGTGTACTATATCATACAACAGACCATGAGGGGCGAGAGAGACGGGCATACGCTGCACCAACAAGATTCTAGAGGATCTGAACTTCGCAGAGGACACGAATCACCCTCAGTGAGAGAAATCCATGAGTCTGAAGTCACTCCTCCCACTTACCTGGGCGGTAGCGTTTCAGCTACAAGCGGTACGCATGAGTGTTAAAGCAAAAGAGATCTTAAGTGATCTGAAGTCAATAATAAGGAACAAGACCCAGATCTACAAAGCTGATGTTAAGTCAGTTCTTCCGTATGGTTTAGACTTACAATGTGTATCACGAAAAGCACTTCCAACAGGCCACAAACTTTAATTAACATATGCCTTCGCCGGCTGGAAACTGAAGATTACATGACCAGACAGTGAGAATAAGCAACAAGGGACTCTGACAACGAACTAACCAGCAGCTTATCCCCTAACAAATATGCAGAAGAACGTAGAGATGGATTGAACATGCACTGAGAAGACCGTCGAGTGACTTCACACACCAGGGAGGCTCTCGAATGGGGGAAAGACGAGTTAGACGTGAGTCAAAGGGTGACATGAAGGACTTCATATGAGGGGAAAATAAAAGCTTATGGACAGTTATGGAGCCAGATGAAACATAACTGCAGAGAACAGAGTAGCGATGTGCTAATGAGACTCTATCTACATAATAATACATAAAAATAGTGATTCATTTACATAAATTTGCAAGAAAGTAAAACTAATACTGAAATCAAACTCATTAGTAAGAGCAAAGACTATTTTCATGATATATATAATACACGTGGGCAAGATAGAAACTAACCTTTGCATTAGGATATAACTCTAACAATTCTTTATAATATGCACATGCAGGATGATCAATAGCAGCTATATATCCTCGAAATATTTGACGACATAATGCTTTATCCAACTTTTTATCAGGTGATTCACGAAGATTTTTATCTAATTCCATCCATTTTGCAATATGTGAATGTCGATGTAAGTATATTTCTTTTAAATGATAACATGGTTTTTTATAAAGTAATTCTAATGCTATCTTTAGACTGTTAGTTCCTGTACGACCAAGGCCTGCGCCTATAACAATCAGTGAGGTTTCCTCTTCGTCCCTTTCACGATCCATAACATTGATGAAATAAATAAATAAAGTGTATTTCAAAATTTTCTCTGTTTAACTCTTCGTTCAAGGTTGTTTGTCTTTATGGAGCTTTCTGATTGGTTACAATATTATTGACCAATCAAATTTTACTACGATCATAGACATAATGAATAGACAAATAGTAGTGGTTTTAAGGTCATCTTTTTCTACTTTTTGAGGTGAACTCATTCACATATTCGAGAGTAGGAATTCAGAAAATCATAAAGACGACTAATATAAGAATCGAATTTGGTCACTATGTTTAGCGTATAATAATTCTATCATGGGTGACTTTAACTGGATAAAAAGCACACAGTATTATTTATTTACTCATAATGTTTCGAGAACAATTTATTGCTTTCATTATAAATTATTTAAATTAATCCCAGATCTGCTGAAGAAGCTGTGGCTTACACAGCGAAACGTTCAGAAAAATCTTGTTTTGATTTTCTTAACACGCTGGGATTAATTTAAATAATTTATAATGAATCAATCTGACTCGGCGCTCAAATTATTCCAGGAAGTTCGTAACACCATCGGCCTGGAAACCTATAATTTATTACTTTGCATATTAATTTGTTTATTTGATATATCACACAGAGAAACAGTATTAGTCACTGGATGACGTTTCAAACACAATTTATTGTTCATAATCATATCAGTAATAATCACACAACCTCGAAACCTGAGTTTTACAGTTTCTTTTATTCCTTCCCATTCGTTCTAGGGATAGTAGAATACCCTGCAATGATTGTCAAGTCAAATACATATTTCATAGTAGTAGAACGGAGTCGGTCAGACCAGCGGAGTACAAAAACTGGAAAAATCTAGATTAGTTGATCCTAATAAGATAAAAAATCTGGAGAATAGCTCAGTTATAATACTACATGCAATTACCCACAACTATGTAATATCATGAAAAAAGATGGCGGTATTAAAATCTAACCTAACAGGGTAAGATTGATATCATTATTATTGTTTCCTTTAGTTCTTAGAGGAGTAAAGGGCTTCAGCCGAACGTCTCCATTGCGCTCGGTTCTCCGTCAACATTTTCACCTGGCTCCACGTCTGCCCATATGCTTTCATCTCTTCTTCACATGACCTCCTCTATGTCAACCTCGCTCTGACGACCAACTCTCCTCTTCGCATTCGCGTTCCACTCGAGCGATGACCTGGCGTGTGATGGATGTCACTTGATGATGGTTTGTTTTCTCACAGTATGGCCTATATACCTCCTGCATATTTGTTGCACAATCGGTTCCAGCTGGGCTGGTTGGTTCACTCCCAGAGATCCCTCACTATCGCTGATCTTTTCTGGCCGGCCATCTGATCTTGAGTAGTATTGAGCGAAGACAGCTGTTGATGGAGGTCTGTATTTTGTCCGACGTGCCTCTCGTGACGAGGAAAGTCTCTGATCCGTAAAGTAAGGAGCCTTGACTTCCATATTCTTTCTCTTTCACATTGCTGCATATAGTAATTCTTTTGCATCCACTTTTCCGCTTTCTTTTTCCTGCCTTTGTGTGCCTCATGGAGTTTGGTAACTTGAACTAATGAACTTCTGTGCAAAGTTCTATTCTAATATTCAGTCATTCTTTGAACCAGGTAACTGACCAACTGATTTTGGAAGTCATTTTAACTCATTGCAAGTATTTAAAGCAATTAGTTCAATTTATGAATTTCGACAACACAATAAGAAGACGTAGTTTAGTATTTGCGCAAATCATTTCAGACATTCTGATAACACATACGTACTTGTCATACACACTTATACATATATAAGGAAAGAAGACATGAATTATTACAATACAGGTCAGATTGTGTACAGGGTCAAGGTCACAAATAATGGGTGTGGATAGGAAAGGAAGAAAAAACAGAAAAAAATACAGAAGGGGTTGAAAATATTCTTATGAAGTAAATTGAACCTTGGTTCCAAATTGGATTACCAAGGCATGTTTGAAGTAATAACAAATAACTTTTAGACACATAAGACAGGTTTAGACCTTTTATGGCCAAAACTTCAACGAATTCAAGTATGTGACCCAATCATTTTTACAAATGGATTTAAATGCATTACTGAAACCAACCTTGTGATCCGTTTCTATGATGTGCTTTGCTATAGATGATGCTGGACATTTATTTCCAGGATCACTTGTATCCGGTGATTTTATTTGTTGTTGCAGCCACTCTGAGATATGTTCTGTAGCCCTAACCTGCGGAGACCGATGTGTCCTCCCTATGTATGTGTGTCCACACATAAATGTAAGTTGATAAACACAATAGGATGTAACACTGTCGCTCGGATGCTGTAAGGGTTTACAGGACAGCATAGTTCTCGTTTTGTCTATGAAGATAAGTTTAGCTGCATAGTAAGTTCTGTTGCTGCTATATTTTGACTGAACTAGCGTATACACATATCCTAATACTTCCTCGCATTTATTTATATTTGTGCCCTAACGTTGCGATTACTCGACATCCGCAACGTAATTCAAAAGGCACTTGCGAAGGAATACGATAGTGTATTATAGCAGCAATCAACAATTCAAAAATCGAGCGAGTACAAAAGGTATCAATTGTTAACATGCATGATTTAGAGTAATAAACAAATGAAAGTACAATTACACAATGAAAGTATAGTACCATTATGAGTAATAAAACGGGTCACTACAATAGCCCCTCCGTAGAATGCAGGTAAATGAAGTTTACCTGTATTCGGAATGATATTGTAAATTACAATTACAGAAAAAAATATATACGAGTTTCTGGTATGAAAACCGAATTGAGGATTTTAAGTTTTTGAGGTTTGATAATATAACTGTATATATGCAAAAATGTTAACAACTTCGAAACGAACCGAATTATTTAGAAAGTTGTGCAAAATGTAACAATAAAACCAGAAAAATTATTATTAGAATAATAATGAGGTTGTTATTGTAAAGAGTTACATATTAGATTTATATCTTAACATACAGTTAATAGTATAGTAATAAGGAAGTATGGAAATGACTTGGGTAAACATTCAGTTACCTCTATTTCCATGAAAGCTTGTTGTACAAGTGGAATTGTACAAGAAGAGATGGCTGTGTCAGAGAAGAGTGCAGCATTAGCTGCTGCTGCTGATACGGTTGAAAGTGAACGTCCGTCAGCATGTTGTTGTTGTTGCTGGCTGTTGTTACTCGGCGTTGAGGAGTAACTTGAATTGATGTTTGCTGCGGTTGGAGAGTAGAAGTTGGTTGATTGATAGCCATTCCAACAAGAGCAGTTGGCATAAACTGTGGTAAACCAGTGGTTTGAATCAGCTGACCGTTAGGACCAACAGTCATGACTTTTAATGGAGCTCCTGGTGCCAGAATGATAAACTGGGGAGTAGCATAGGAGCGTGCAGCTACAGTATCAGGTTGACCACTGACAGGGACGTCAGTTGCCATCATTGTTGGTTGTTGCTGATGTTGTTGGATATAAGTTGGCTGTTGAGCTGGTTGTAACTGATGAGCTTGTGCTTGAATCTGTTGTTGTTGAGGTGATTGGGTAAACTGTTGTAATTGAACAGCTGTAGGACCGGCTTGAGTAAATGGAGTTGCAGACCATTGTAAGAGTGTTTGCACACCTGTAGACAATGCTGAAGCTTGAGGACAGAGAACTGGAATTGAGGTGTTGCATAACAGCCAGCTGCTATAGCTTCTTGAGTATCAGGGTGAATTGGGATAGCAGTCGCTGTTCCGCCAGGTCCGGAGGTACATTTAGCAGAAATATCAGTAATTATACATCCGAATGTTATGAAGTTATAAAAGTTAATGCGATGGCAAAGATGATTTACTCCACTGTGTATACTTCGAAATGATGTAGTCCATCAATCAGCTATGTCGGGCTCGCCAATTTGTCGTCGGGGCTCACCAATTTTTTGCTGCTATATTTTGACTGAACTAGCGTATACACATATCCTAATACTTCCTCGCATTTATTTATATTTGTGCCCTAACGTTGCGATTACTCGACATCCGCAACGTAATTCAAAAGGCACTTGCGAAGGAATACGATAGTGTATTATAGCAGCAATCAACAATTCAAAAATCGAGCGAGTACAAAAGGTATCAATTGTTAACATGCATGATTTAGAGTAATAAACAAATGAAAGTACAATTACACAATGAAAGTATAGTACCATTATGAGTAATAAAACGGGTCACTACAGTTCTATTAATTGCCGCCTTGAATCTTTGTTCAGTGACCAAACTTTGCTGACCACGCCTGAACGGCAAGGATGCATAAACATCCTTCTTGTAGCTGATTGGATCGGTAGATCTCTTTGGTTGACACTTCTGTAACGCTTAATGAATCTCAGTGGGTAATTGTTATCTAACAATGTTTCAGAGAGGTGTTGTGTTTCTCCTTCAGCCGTGTCGGCAGTACATATACGGTAAATGCACTTGCACAAACACTTAACCAACACCTTTTTATACTGTAGTGGACAGAAACTAAGATAATTTAGATACTGTTCCGTTCACGAGGACTTTCTGTAGATAGAGCATTTTACTGACCCGTCTTGTCAGACGGTTATGAGTTCATCTAAAAATTGCAAGCAATCATTATTATCTTTAACGTATCTTAGCGATATGCCGTTTTGTACTGTATTGATCTAGTTAAGGATTTCTATGGCGTATTTCGGTTTATCACAAATGACTATTATGTCATCCACATATCTCTTATGAAAATAAATTTTTCCAATGACGTCCTCCGCTAGGTTCTCAACATGCGACATGTATTTATATTAGCTAACAATGGAACTAGGGGGCTTCCCGCAGTAACACCATTGATCTCAAATGTACACTTAACATTGTTAGTACATAGAATCAGTTACTCTTTTAAATAATATATGGACACTGGTAATAGGAAATTGTTGTATGAGATGCAATCACATAAAATGTCAACCGTATGTAAAAGAGGTACATTTGTAAATAAAGAATCATCTTCTGAGGAAAACATGGTTTTATCCTTTATATCAACGTTATGAAGACAATCTATTAACTCAGAAGTATCTTTCAATGCAAACTTACAGAAGCTTCTTCCAACAGTAATGCAAGTAATCAGCTAAAGCCAACTTTCAAGTATTGATTTTTGTAAAGATTTTGTTTGATTGATTGGAGGATTTCATCATGAGC